GTTGATTGACTGTATTGTGCAGATCTGTGTCTTTGTTGAGTTTCTTTCTAGTTGTTCTATCCTTCACTGAAATTGGTGTATTAAAATCTCCTACTATTACTGTGGAGTCATCAATTTCTCTTTTCAATTCTGTTAAAGCCTGATTTATGTATTTTGGGGCTCTTTTATTGGGTGCATAGACATTTATTACAGTTACGTCCTCCCGTTTAATTGATTTTTTTAATCACTATACAATGTCCTTCCTTGTCTCTTATGTTGTTGTTGTTGTTGTTATGTGCCCTCGAGTTGGACTCAACTCATAGCGACCCCTTCGTGGGTTTTCGAGGTGGTATCACTATGGAAGTAGATTGCCCAACCTTCCTTCTGAGGAGTGGCTGGTTGGTTTGAACCGCCAACCTTCTGGTTAGCAGTCAAATGCCTTAGGCACTAATGTCTATTTTATCAGAAATTAATATTGCCACCTGTTGTCATCAAGTCGATTTCAACTCATAGTGATCCCCACTGGGTTTTCAAGCCTGTAAATCTTTACAGAAGTATATTTCCTCATCTTCCTCCTACAGAGCAGCTCATAGGTTTGAACCACCGACCTTCTGATTAGCATCCAAATGCCCTCCCACTACACCACCAAAGCTTCTTTATTAATTTCACCACTCCTGTTCTTTTGATTGCTATTTGCTTATTATATTCTAACTTTTAATTTTTAGTCTATTTTTGTTTTTATGTTTACGGTATGCCTCTTATAGACAGCATAATGATGAGTCATATTTTCTTATTCATTCTGCAACTCTAAATTAACTTACATTCTGTGTAATTATCAACAAGTATGAATATATTGCTGTCATTCTGTTTTTTGATGGTGTTGCTGATTTCTTTGTTCCATACAATTTTCTTATTTCTCAAAATGCTGATCTCATTTCACTTATGGATTTTTTAGGGTTTCTTTTGTTGCTGTTATTTTAGTTGCTATTGTTTAAATATTTGTGCCTTTCCTCTCTTTTGATGAGAAAGTTTATTTTCTTTGAAGTTACCTTGTGATAATTATATTCTTTCCAAGTTTAAAACAGTCTATCTCAAAATTGTTTTCACATCCTCTCCATTTGGAAGTTCTGTACCTACACTATTTATTCTCTTTTTCAGTCTGTAGTTGCCCTCATTTACTAATTAATGTCTCTAGTTCCCTGTTTAGGAGCTCTGGTGGCATAATGCCTAAGGCATTTGACTGCTAGTCAGAAGGCTGGTGGTTCAAACCCACGAGCCACTCCTCGGAAGGTTAGGCAATCTACTTCCATGGTGGTATTGCCTCGGAAACTCAAGGTGGGGTCGCTATGAGTTGGATCCTACTCAACAGCAGTGTGTAGGTATGTAGGTAGTTCCCTGTTTCCAGTCTTGTAATTTTATTTTACTTTTGGATACTTCTGTATCTGGGTTGGTTTCTGGGTGATGTTGTTATGTGTATTTATCGATTGCTGATTCCCTTTAGCATCCCTTGGGAGGTTTTTCTGCTTTTAATAAATTTCCATTTATCTGGGAATGTCCTAATTTAACCATATTTAAGAAACAATTTTGCTGGGTATATAATTCTTGGTTGGCAATATTTTTCTTTCAGGGTTTTATATATGTCATCCCACTGGTAACTTTTTGTTTTTCCTGTTGTTCTTAGAATTCTTTATTTTCGATTTGGTAATTTCAACTCCCCCTTCACAAGTGGAAGTGATAAACCACTGAAAAAACTCAAGACATCTTTAACCACCTTCTTTTGCATTTTATTTGATGATTTTATGCCATAAATTTGAAGAAACATCTTTTATTTCTTTTCCTTGTTGCTAAACCTTTCAATTCATATCACACACAAATATCTAATTATGTGTATCCTGAAAACTGTATCTTTGCCACTGTCATATTCAAACAGTCTCCTGGATGAATACAGGCAGTCCCCAAGTTACCAATGAAATCCGCTCCTAAGTGTGTCTTTAAGTTGAATTTGTAGGTAAGTCAGAACAGATGCCTACAGCTCTTATTTAGCCTTACTTCAGTGCAACAATAAGGAGTTCTGGTAGCACAGTGCCTAAGGCATCTGACTGCTAACCAGAAGGTTGGTGGTTCAAACCCACCAGCCACTCTGTGGAAGCAAGACTGGGCAATCTACTTCCATAAAGATTTACTGCCTCCGAAATCCAATGAGGGTTGCTGTAAGTCAGAATCAACTTGAGGGGAGTGGGTTTGGCTTTTTTGGTTTAAGTTTTATTATTGTACGTCTTAAGTGATTTTCTTCTGTGATTTATCCTGTTTGGGGTTCGCTGAACTTCTTGAATGGCTATCTTCTCATCTTTCAAGATACTGGGAGCTCTGGTGGCATAGTTCCTAAGGCATTTGACTGCTAACCAGAAGGCTAGTGGTTCAAACCCACCAGCCCCTCCCTGGAAGGAAGGTTGGGCAATCTACTTCTGTAGTGATACCACCTCGGGAAGTTTTAGTCCAAAAAAATCTTCAACAATTTTCTCTGTGGTGGTTTTGTCTTTTCCTGTTCTGGAATTCTGGTCTCACGTAAGTTATTCCTGTTGCTAGTGTTACACATAAATCATAGGTTTTCTTTATTTTGTTTTGATCTTTTTTCTGACTGATCCCTTAACAAAGCAGTATTGAGAGATTTGTCTTCAGTCTCACTAGTTCTGTTTTCCATCAATTCAATTCTATTTCCTTTGCCTTTTCAATGTGTTATCTATTTCTGAAATTTTAATCTACTGGATTTCTATGTTGTTTTTCTATGATTTCCAATTCTTCATTTATTCTGTCAGTTTTTGCATTGTTTTCCTAGAATTCTGTCTGTGTTTTCCTTGATTTTGTCATTGCACTCCTCGATCTGTCTTTAAATCTATTGAAGGTACCTAAATATAATTCTTTTGGATTTCTCATCACGTCGTTCCAATGCCATTTCTTTCTCAGGGAGATTTTCTGGCTCTGTATTCTGGTCTCTTCCTTGTACTACTTTACCTTGCTTCTTAGTGTGAACTGAGATTGTCAGTTGTCTCTGAGACATTGTGATGTCACTGAATTGGCTTCCTAAACATCAATATACCATTCTCTAAAACCTATCAATTCTAATCATACCACAAAAATAAATAAATAAAAGTAATTATTTTTGGTATCTATGATTCCTATCTATATAGTAATTTCTATATAGATGGGAATCATAGATTCACTCTACAGAATATTTCAGTTAGATGATATTATTGTAAACCTATCAATCTAAGACCTGGGAAGCAGAAATAGCCTTATTATAGCGAATCATACACTGAAATTAGATTTTTCTTACAGGAGAATTATAAATATTTGAGTATTCCAAGAACTGACCATGTACTTTCAATTTATTACCTCCTGCTAAAGGATACAGTCATTTGACAAAATATAATCCAGAAAAAAAGAATCCTTTGTTACATGTCAACTGTAATAGGAAACGGCACAAGTCCAGGAATCTGGGGATAGGAATGCTCTTCTTTAACCTACTAGAAGCAGAAAGCCCTCTGCACTTTTTTTTTTCCAAGAATGGTCCTAAGGCATACATGGCCTTCCCAGCTCAGGCTGCGTCTCCCAGGATAGCCAGAACCTGAATCTGTTCCTCCCCATCCCGACTGCTGAGCTGCCAAGCAGCCAGCTTTCAAATACCACAGGACAAAGACCTCTGGACATATAATGCCACAATGAGTGCCTAATTTAGAAAGAACTTGTTGGCAAAGTTGTCCAACAAAAGATACATCACCTAATAAAAGATAAATCTCTAAGAAAAGATACATCGCTACTTCCATTAGGAAATGTGCTTCCACATGAGATTTAAATCAGATTTGATTATGATCACACATGATGGCTTTCATCTTGATGTGAAATAAATAAAAATAGTGGCGGTGATGTCTTTTTTTCCTATATTATTCACAAGCTTATTTTTTAAGGAGAAAACACATGGAATAGATTAGTAGCATGCCTGTTCTCTTTCTAGCTCCTAATACTTCAAATACTGGCATTTGACACTATTTCATAATACTGTGGCCAAGAGTTTCTCCTTTCTTTTTTGCCTTCAAAGTCCTTTCCAAAAGGAAACATACTGCACAGAATTCTGTATTATTCCTAATTTCCAAGTGAAAAATGAGACACATAAAGTGACATCTGAAAACACTGGGGATTTTATTTTTACAAACAAGACAATAATTCAGAACTTCTTGCCTTAACTCTTCACTATATTACCACAGTAATAGTTACCAAAGTCCAAGACAGTTAGCTGTACACAATAATGACCAATAAGTTTACATTGATGGGGCTATCAATAATAGACTTATTAGTGAAGTAACTGGAAAAAAGTTCAAATGTAAAGGATGATTCATTATTCTGTTTATACAATATTGAAACAAACATAACATTTAAACACTACAAAAATTTTAAGTGATATTAAATAATAGTTGATAGCTCTGAAATACTGCAACATCACGAAGTACTTTCTGAATAACCAAAAGCAGGTGAAATGCTATTGGGTATAATTTTACTTAAGTTTATCACACAGAACTATGTATTTTAAAATTTGTAATCCATGTAAAGATACACACAAAACCCTTAACTGATTAGATTTTTCAATAAATAGAACTCCCTACTGCTTGGTGGTTATGGATGAATGAACCTGTAATTCAGTGAGACATTTTAAGAAGTCCCTGTCTATACAATGACATATTTAAATTGTCTGGTCTGATAATTCTGTTAGCAAAAACATCTAACTCCTTTATGTTTAATTCCTCTGAACACCATCTTAAAAGGGCCTGACTTAATTTTTGTCAAAATAAATCACAACTGAAGTATTACCCCCTAGCCTCTGTCCTGTGAGTTCTTGATGCATTTCTGTCCAGTGTAAGCCAGCACACGGACCTTTCCACAGGTCTCCCATTTGAGATTCACGGTACAACTTATATACTTTTCACAGAGTACCCTGCCCTTCTCTAGGCTTTTGGTAGAATGTAAAATTAATAATGACATGTGGTATTCCTTAGCATAACTTGCCAAAAGGTGATAATTTCCTTGGAAGAAAAGCCATGGGCTGCAATCACACGTCTGAGCTGACAGACATCCAAATGGATCCTATATAAAAAGAAAAGGTTGGTGTCTTCTGGAATATGAATGTCAACTTTTAATAAATTCAAACAGATCCCAACATAAACATCTTCAAACTTGATGGGCTTTACATGACCCATCATTTCATAAATCCTTGGCACCAAATCTCTGGACATTATATAACCCAACCCACTGCAGTAGGGAGGAAACACCTTAAAAGGATACTCTTGGTATGAAATATGGGTTTTTTGGTAAAATCCTCTATAGGAATAATTATCAATTAGAGGATAACCTGTGAAAAACTTCTCTGAGTGATTTAAATTTAAAAGATACTTCACTAAATTGCCAGTATTGATGAAAACATCAGTGTCTGTCTTCATGATATACCTGGCATTGGGGCAAAACTCAGTTACCCACCTGAATGCCATAATTGTTTTCAAGGTCAGGTTGTTATAAGTATCTAAAAAATCTTGGCGTATTATGTCACCATAAAGAAGGTGTTCATCCTCTAAGGACAACGCTAACATTTTGTCTTCCCTTTCAGCCTGTTGGCCTAATAAAAAAAATGTAAGAACCTCATAGCCCCACCAAGACTTTTTTTCACCCCAAGTAACTCTGATGGCCTGTCTGGCTTTCACATCTGAGGGATGTGAGGTGACCAGGATGACAAGAAATGGGTTTTGATGAGAGCAGTTTGAATGCTCTCGAAGTGTGAAGCGAAAGTCTTGTCTGTAAATCGGCTCATACTCATAGAAGTACATGAAGTTTACACGTTCTATTACATTGTAGTGGGGAAGGCTGAGGTACCACATCACGAGGAAACTCAGGAGTGACAGCAGGAGGAGGCTCCATTTGAGGGATCTCAGTGACATCCTACTTGGAAGAGTGGTCCAGAGAGCCAGGGCCATCCACAGCAGTTTAGAAGCACGTGAGCCTCAGCTTCTGGAAGATCAAAGACCTGGTTAGCTTTGTACCACCCAAAGTGCATTTGTAAATGATAGCTGATTAGTTCTTCAGGAGCAAGAGACTAGGAGAACAAATGCTCCAAAGCAAAACCCAAAATCCTGACCTCAATCTACTTAATTTCAGTAGGTGATTAGTAGATGACTACCAGCAACCACATAGGCACTTTAGCTTTTTACAGCAAAACCAAGGTTAAAAATACATCCCTGATTATAACAGGCAAACTAATACCATTTTTTATTTTTAGTATACACACAATATAAGTGCTAACAAACACAGAGTAACTGTGCTTATTATGAAACAAGGTTTTTGTTATAGATGCTCAGATGGACAGAAAGAGATGGGAAATGGCAAAATGAAAAATAAATCTACAGGTAAAAATAAAACAAAACAAAACAAAACCTGTATCTTTTACCACCATGAAAATGGAGTATTTAATGCAAGGAGGTATGCCAGTGACATGTGCAAATAAAGTGAGGATCTTTCTCAGCTGTGTGATCTCATATGGATTCTAGCAAATATAGATTAAGAAATATCCTGCAATTATAATTATTCACAGGGTAAACTGCTGATGTGAGATAAGATGAAGGTAGAGGAGACTCATTCATCTGACAGAGGTGAATTATCTAGGCATAAACAGAATAAGCATTTCATGAGTTTATAAATGCTCAGACTATGAAATAGTTTTTACTTGCCTCGAACTCTACCTTAGCCTCATTTTCACATTATTGGTTGTACTCAATGCTTACTCTGGATCCAAACCAAACCAAATCTGTTGCCATCAAGTCAATTTCTATTCATGGTAAGACCATATGTTACAGAGCAGAAGTGAGCTCCATAGGAATTTCTTGGCTATAATCTTTACAGAAGAAGATCACCAGGACGTTCTTCTGAGGTACCACTAGGTGTGTTCAAGTTGCCAACTTTTCAGTTAGTAGTTGAGTACAAGCCATTTTTGCCACAATAGCAAGTGCTTAAACTTAAGGTTTGTCCTTGGTATTGAGTTTTTCACTTCAATCTATTCAGAAATCATATTTCAGATCAGAATCATGGGATAGAACCTCCTAGAATACTTGTTTTAACACAGAACCCCAGCTGGGATGAGAAAACAGAGCTTTGTGACATAGCAGTCAGGTGGCCAAGTGACAGCCAAGGCCTCAGCTCTGCTCCAAAACCCACAGCTAAAGTTGGTTTATAATCTGAGATCCCACATGACTTTCCTGGCACCATGATCACAGGCCTCAGTCTGAAACATACACATTCTAACTGTTTATTGGATATCTTCTACACCCATAAACTATACCAAGCTTTACAAGGACCAAAGGAAATAGGAGATGGGAGGAGAAGAAAATCCCAAGGTAGCATGTAAACGTGGCATGATAATGTGGTACAGATTATATCAAATGCTAAAGAACTTCAGAAGAAGAGAAAGATCAACTCAATGAGGGGTGGCCTGGGGAGGCTTTGACAGGTGCTCTGTTCACCTACAATCATCTTGGGGAAGAGTGTCCTGGGAATCCAGAATTTACTATGGAAAATATAAATTAATGTCATTATGTGGGAAGGCTGTTCTACAAAGGGATCTACCTTGCGTCAATCTTGGACACAGCTGTTCTGCCTCTTTTAATACTTATGACAATGATCTCTTGCCCTCCCTATTTGGTTCTATCTTACCTGCCCTGATTACTTCTGGGCAAAATAATCTTTCCTATCTCAAAGACTTTCTATATTTTATGTCACACATTGCAATGGAATGTTTTCACAAACACTGTCCAATTCTGTTTCATCTATGGTGTGTTTTGGTTACCTAGTGCTGCTCTAACAGAAATACCACAAATGGGATGGCTTTAACAAACAGTTTATTCTCCTACAGCTTAGAGGCTTTAAGTCTGAGTTTAAAGTGCCAGGCTCTCAATCTTGGGCTTCAGCTCTGCCTACTGTTCCTGGACCACTGAAGCTGGAGGCTCTTCTTCACTCAGAGAGTTGCTGGCTGCTAAGGCTGACAAACCCAAAGTCGACAAGTAAAAAGGCACAGTAACCAATGTTACCAAACAACATGGCTGGCCATTGATTCAAGCCCTTGGAAAGTCCCAAGGTCGGCAGAGCATGGCAGGCTACTAAACAATGACTCAACTACGTGTAGGGTTCAAGCATGCCAAAAACTAGAGACCATTTCCAAAGCTGCTTCTTATATATGGGAAGCAGACCCTAAAGCAGGGTAGATCCTTCTGTGCAACTGATTGCATCTCATCATGGGGAATAACTACCACCAGCTGCCCAGCCATTCAACCAGGCCCAACCAAGTACAACACAACCTTAACTACCACAGGGTGTCTTGTCTCTCTACTTATATTCTGTGACTTTGTTAAGAGGACAAAAACATTTGTTTTGCAATGGTCAAAGTGCAAGACAGAAGGAGGCCTATAGCAGAAGTGTAACACGTAATGACTTGTTTGATACGCTATTTCCACTTACTATAGGACTAAAATGTAGGTCTGTCCATCCCACCCTCATCTTCCTTGCACCCTACTTATTAGCCATACACAGGTAGCCTCTGAAATAGGAAAAGAATAAACCTGAATAAAACCTGAAACAGAAAGATCTAGAATGAGAATCAGGGAATTATCACCTCCTTACATTTTTTCCTCACTTGGCTACTGGACACTGCATAACCCTAGGAGGAAATTATTTACATCTTAGCCATTGGCAACTTGTACATTTATTACAATTTTCTGCCCAGATGGCAATTTTATGTCCCATTCTAACAAATCAGCACTTTGTAACCAATTTCAGACAAATACAAATAAAGTGTACTGAGGATGGGGCATCATTTCTAATTGCAAAATGGGCAATGGAGGTCCTGCTCTTGTTCAATATGAGGAAGAGTTCAAAGCAGCAAATCTTATTTTGAAAGTTGTTTATATGCATTGTACAAACAGTGGTTTCTAAATGTGAAAATGTGACTATGGTTATGATGTCTATTGCTTACCAACAGAAAAATAAGGAAAACCATGAGAAAATAAGGAAGCAGCAAAAAGAGGAGGAACTCTCTGGTCCACAAGGGGAGAAAGGTCTTCAGAGTACTGGCCAGAACAGAGTTCAGGTTACTTAAACAGAGACCAGAGAGAGGCCACAATCTACAACCAAGCTCTGTCCTTTACCAACCATGGCAGGTGGGTACCTTATTTATCTCTTAGAGTTTTGGTTTTCCATCATCAATACATTGAAATACAAATACAGTATACATTAGTGATAATGTATGCACAATATCTGGTCTACTGTAGGCATTCAACAAATAGAGGTGTAGTTTAGAGGTGAAACAAATCAGCAGCTGTGGTTCTACCCTTGGCATCATTTCCACCCTGTTTATTTTCTCTAAATTGATTTATACTGTCTAAATTGGTAGCATAGTGCCTAAGGCGTCTGACTGCTAACCAGAATGCTGGCGGTTCAAACCCACCAGCCACTCCTCTTAAGGAAGATTGGGCAATCTACTTCCGTGGTGATGTTGTTGTTGTTGTTATGTGCCGTCGAGTCAGCCCCGACTCACAGTGACCCCTTCTTGGGTTTCCGAGGCAGTATCACTACGGAAGTAGGATTGCCCAACCTTCCTTCCGAGGAGTGGCTGGTGGGTTTGAACCACCAGCCTTCTTGTTAGCAGTCAAGTGCTTTAGCCATTATGCTACCAGAGCTCCTTCCGTGGTGATACTGCCCTGGAAATCCAAGGAGGTGTTGCTATGAGTTGGATCCAATTCAACTCGAGGACAATGAGTTTGGTTTGGAAAGTGATTACACACAAGAAATAATCCTAATGATTTCTTACTGCCTGAAGAAAAAGTACATTTCAAAGCCATAAATACATTGTAATTTTTTACCTTCTTTTTATTGACTTATTTCTTTGGAGTGAAAAACCTTCAATTTTGCCAAATGAATGCTCAACAGTCATAAATAATGCTTGGATAGGAATTTGCTGTAAGATATATCAGAATCATAGCAGCATTCACTTTTGGGTCAGGGAATTAGAAGGTTAAAGAGGGGAAGAAGTAGAAACATATGTTGAAAAAAGAAGTTTAAAAAAATACCGCTGGACTACAAAATTCAGAGAATTTATGAATGAATCATGGAAAAAGGGAACCTATTATTTTTAAAAAAGTGGGGACTCAAGAGTTAAAACATATATCTAAGTTTGCTTGTTAGTAGGTATCTCAAGTCACCCAACCACTCTTTCACTTCCCTCGATGAAGAATTCAGGAATCACTAAAATAAGTGAAACGGAAAACTAAGACACTCTGCTGGTATGCTCCTCCTCTAATTCTCTGCTCCCCGCACACAGGTGAAGTTTAGAGAAATCAAGTGAAATGAAGGTGAAATAAAGACATTTTCAAGCACACTAGGACTTAAAAAGTCCACAAGTTTTTGCTGAAGAAGTACAAAAGGATGTTATTTTAGCATGCAGAGAAATATACTCAGGCAGATGTAATAAAACACAACAAAGGTAAGCAAGGAGATTATTAAGAGATAGTGAAAACCAGATAGCAAATGAGCAAGAATGAGGAGAAAGAGAAGCAGCAGCATCCTGCCACCACGGCCACAGTGCTTTTCATGTGGTTAAAAAAAAGAAAAAAAACTTAATATACTAGATAAAAATAATGTGGTTGCTGCAAAGAGGTGTCTCAAATATGCTAACACGCAAATATGCTATTCAGCAGGAACAAAGAAATACTGATAAACCTGAACATTTTGTTAAAAATACTCATTTAAGAATCCATATTGTCCTTTGAAAGAACAGATGTGGAATATATCCCTAAACTGATAGAGAAACAGGAGAAACAAAGGAAGTTATCAATTTAATAGAATGCAGGAAAACAGGATTAAAAATAATAATAAAAACAAAACAGAAAATGCATGGCAGAAAACATAAAAGAGATGGCAAAAATAAATCTAA